CATGGAGCTTGTTAAGCCTAATTGCTACTTTGTAGCAATTTCCACCCCAGTGTTCGTCTGGGTGGTCGCATTTCCTATGGACGACCACAAGGTGGTGGCCATCTTGTTCGCACAAACGCAGGCAGCGTTGTTTGTTTGTCAAGTTCATGGAACTGAAAACAGACACAGAAACTCCCGAACACCGCTGGACTTCCAGCATCACCTGCTTTCGGTTCTACAACACTTAGGAAGACACTGTTCGGGGGAAACGTTCCCATGAGCAAGGGAAACAAGCTCCAGGCTAACAATATTGACTATGTTCTGTAGTTTGCTCTGTTTTAAACAACGGAACTAGACCGACCGCTAGCCCTGTTTTGGGCAGGAGCCTTGTGTGCGGTCGGTCAAATTGAGTCTTCCAGGAAACCCCTGAACCGATCTGGGTGAGTTTTGGAAATGTTGGTCACCTACATCGGGGCTATCAGGGGATGTAACTTAGGTTTTTTTTTAAATGTATTTTAAAGGTACCTTTGGGGTGTTTGTCAAATGTGTGCTTTTTGTGCCTGGAGATAATTGAGTTTTGTACAGTTCCTGGCTCAATTATCTCCCAGGCATAGGGGAGAGATTATCCTGTTTTCTGTGTCAGGGGCATGCTAAACTGTGTTGAGAATTGTAAAAAGGCAGGCCATCTGACCAGATTAAAGGTATTCCATCTTGTACTCCCAGAACTATGTGTCATCTGATTACTGGGAGGGAAAAGGGCTAATTACGAATCACTGCCACGGTGACTGTGAGCAGAAATGCCGCAGTTTATCCCCTGTTCCAGCTAGGAAGCGGTCCTTCACGGAGGTACCCAGCCAGGGCTACAGGGAGCTCTGTTACAGATGCCTTGAACCTAAAAAGTTTGGGAACCACTGGACTAGACTATTGTACAGTCTTGCATTCATACCAGAGGTATGTGCCAATCTGAAGTTTATATATGTTGTAACAGTTTGTATGTTAGACGCCCAGGATCGGCCCTGGGTAAAGGGGTGAGGTGTGGGAGTAGCTGTCACTCAGGAAGATAAGCATGATGACAACAGTTATATATATAACTTGGACACTACTGTCTTCTAGCTGCATGTCATCATCTCACAAAATCTAGTAATTAATAATAGTAATAATAAAAGGATAAAAAGTTAAATGTATCTAAGAATTCCATACTGAAAATCTTTCTGCTTTTAAGTGTACCCGTCTTGAGGAACATGACTTGGTGTGACTTGGTGTCACTTTAAAATTAATAAAATGTTCTCTATATGTTTTGCTAGCCAAATGCTTTACTGCTAGCAAATCATCATGGGAGTACTAGGTTTACAGATTTTGTTCCAGATTTTGTCCACTTCTAACTATAAGCTTGTGTCCTTTTGGCTTTATCACATCTGTCACTCACACACTGCTTTATACAGCGACTAACACCATCCATCAATACATTCTACCGCCTAAGGCTAAACACAGCAGAAAACCTATTCTGTTGCTTGACACTCACACTGTTGTAAAACAATCCAAGTGGTCTTGTTTCCTTGGGAAAGCTCTGAGGGTAAAATGTAAAATAAGTTGTTGCTGCACGTTGTATACTATGTCAATTTGACATTTTTATTATGACCCTGTTTAATAAATGTAGCTTTTAAAAGGCAATTTAATCATCAAAATCATTTCTTAATGATGTAATTTCGGGGGCACATATGTTGGCCATGCAACATTTCAGATGAAAGAGAGCTGTTTTGGGGAAATGTCACTGTTTAGTTTTTGCAGTCCCTGTGCATCTAGTGGCTGTTACTAAGACAGGGGCTTTGGACTAAAATTATTTCAATAATTTAATCTGTTTTACGCCCGGCATCAATATTTTCTGTGTCAGACTCTTACAAAGAGGCAGGCGTTGGATTGGTAGAACTTTGCAAATGCCCCTGTCCCATAGGTCCAGAACTGGAGCATTTACATAGTTGCATAGCTGAAAAGAGACTTGCGTCCATCACGTTCCGCCTTCCTCACATATGTTTTTGCTGTTGATCCAAAAGAAGGAGAAATATCCAGTCTAAAGCGCTTCCAATTTTGCAACAAACTAGGAAAAGAAAATCCTTCTTGACCCCAAAATAGCAGTCAGATGTCTCCTTGGATCAAGCAGCTATTACCCCACTAATTAGAAATTATATCCCTGTATGTTATGTTTTTGCAAGTATCCAATTGCTATTTAAACATCTGTATAGACTCTGACAAAACCACCTCTTCAGGCAAAGAATTCCATATCCTTATTTAAAAGCCGCTTCATACCATTTTTTATAAAGTACTGAATACAAGGATTTGGAGACTTTAAAAAAAGATCATTTAAAAGAGTGTTTCTTTAATACAGAAGACAATAGACACAAAAAATTCAGTCCAAGTTAATCTGTGTAAAAAAAAACCAAGGACGTTCAATGAAAGTATCCGTCCTTTCTCTTCTTTTATGACTCATTGTTCTATTTAAAAATATCTCTTTTTCTGCTGTTCTTAGACAAAGAATAAGATGAAAAATAGGTGTTAAAATATTCAAACCGTACCAGTAACATCCTTTCTAAAATGATGGCACAGGTATCATTTTCACAAAGCTAATAACTTTTATAATCAGTTTAGATTTTCCAAATCAGTTAGAAATTCACATGAACTCAATGTTTAGTGAATAGCCCTCTTTGATACTTGGTAGTGGCAGGCAGTGGCGTACACATGACCCATGGGTCCCGGTGCAAAAATTGATCCATGGGCTCCCTCCTTCCCCACGCTTACTTGGCGCGGGTCAGGCCGCAACACATGGCGGCGGGCACCTGGTCGCAGGGCTGCGACCCCGCAACCGCGGTATGCTGCACACACACCTAAAGGACCGCTACAGACACACAGATCACATCAGCTCAATGAAGTGGTCTGGGTGCCAGGTCCCTCTAGTTTTAACCCTGCAGCTGAAAACATAGCTGTTTCAGAGAAACGGCTATGTTTCACTGAGGGTTAATCCAGCCTCTGGTGCCTGTCTCATTGACAGCCGCTAGAGGAGATTCCGCGATTCTCACTGTGAAAATCACAGTGAGAAGACACTGAACGTACATAGGAAAGCATTGAGTAATGCTTTCCTATGGGCGGTTTAAATGTGCGCGCACGCCTCTTGCCATGCATGTGCATTCGGAGCTGAGAGGCGGAGGGATCCCCAGCGCCAAGGAAGTCCGGCGCTGGAGAAAGGTAAATGCTGAAGACATACACTCTCACGAACAGACGCATACACACTAGCTAACAGACACACACACTTACTGACAGAGACACACAGAGACATACTTACACAGTCACTTACAAAACATACACTTTCACTGACAAACACACACTCACTAACAGACATCAGACACACCCAATAACAGACACACTAACACACACACTAAAACACACACACTAACACACACACACACTAACACTAATACACACACACTAACACACACACACACACTAACACTAATACATACACACTAACACATTTTTTTTAAATTGAATCCCCCCAGCCTCCTTACCTTTTGGAGTGCTGGGGGGATTCCCTGGGGTCCAGTGGTGGTGCTGCTGGGTGGGCTGGCTGTCTGTCTGGCGCGCGAGGGAGCACTTTCCCCTGTGTGCCTTCTCTTCAGCTCCCTCGCGCGCCGCGTAGGGATGCCGGAGCCAGAAGATGACGTCATCTTCCGGCTCCGGTATCAGTGCGGTGCGCGAGGGAGCGGAAGAGGAAGCACACAGGGGAAAGTGCTCCCTCGCGCGCTGGCCACCCAGACAGCCAGCCCGCCCGCCCGCTGGGGTCAGCAGGGCCAGCCTCGGGGGGCCCTGAGGTGGCCGGCTCCTGGGCCCCCCAGGAGAAGAGGCTGGCCCTGTGGGTACATACTGGGTCGCAGGGGCGGCCGGGCCCCCTGGTGGGCCGGGCCCGGTCGCAGCCGCGACCCCTGCGACCCTGGTATGTATGCCACTGGGGGCAGGGATATATCTATACATAACATGTAATGTCTGCAGATTCCACATGAATGCCACAGAAACAAAAACATTAAGCAAGACAATAACATTTAAAGGGACTCTGTAGCTGCAGCTTAATGTAGTGGTTCTGGTATCTATAGTGAGTCCCTGCATTCTTTTTTATGTAAACACTGCCTTTTCAGAGAAAAGGTAGTGTTTATATTACTCCCCAGAACAGGGGTAGGCAACCTTTAAGTAGTACTGTGCCAAAACAAGATCTTCATGTCCCTTTGCTGGTCCTATTTTTTTTTTTTTTTTAAACGGAGATGTGTATGTTGCAGTAGTCTGCTTGTGTTATGTATGGGCGCTGCAGTTGCTTTGTAGCGTTGTATTTGTGCTTATGTGGGCAGTTATAAATATTGCATATTTTCATAAGAAGTTTGTGATATTTTGTATCATACCTGTGAATGTGGGCTATGTATCACATTGTATTTTTGGTGGTTTGTGTATGTGTCTGGCTGCTTGTGGTATTGCATGTGAGAGGCAATTGTGGTGTTGTGTGTCTATGTGGATTGTCAGTGCTGCAGCTATGTGTGTAATATCTTGATTTATGTTGTTTTTCAAGGGTGATTTGAAATAAGTCACATATATTTATGAATATAGATGTTAGGCATGGACGCCTAGCAGCACAACTGAACCAGCTACTAGCAACAGGCTCCCACCCTGACTGGCTAACCCAAGGCAGAACAATACTGGCCATGAAGGACCCTCACAAGGGAACAGCACCATCCAACTACCGACCAATAACCTGCCTCCCCACGACATGGAAGCTCCTATCAGGCATCATAGCCTCCAAGAGCCAAAAGCATATGAGTCAATATATGAGCAATACTCAGAAGGGGATTGGAAACAACACCATAGGATCAAAACACTAACTACTGGTAGACCAAGCAGTCACAAGGGATTCTAAGGCCAAGCAGATCAATCTGTGTACGGCCTGGATTGACTACAAGAAAGCCTATGACACAATGTCACACACATGGATACTGGAATGCTTGGCTCTCTACAAGGTCAGCAAGACAATAAGAGCCTTCATCAAGAACTCGATGGGCAAGTGGAAAACAACTCTAGAAGCCAATTCCAGGACAATAACTCAAGTGAACATTAAATGTGGCATATACCAAGGTGATGCGCTATCCCCAATGCTGTTCTGCATAGGCCTCAACCCCCTCAGCTAGATCATCAAGAAGAGTGGATACGGATACAGGTTCAAGAGTGGAGCTACCATCAGCCACCTACTCTACGTGGATGACCTCAAGCTATATGCCAAGAATGACTCACTGATTGACTCACTGATCCACCTAACTAGGATATACAGCAAGGACATTGGAATGTTGTTCGGGCTAGAGAAGTGCGGGCGCATGATAGCAAAAAGAGGGAAGATGATCAGGACAGAAGGAGTTGAAGTTCCAGAAGGCCAAATAGAAGATGTATAGAACAGCTACAAGTACCTGGGGGTACCACAAATGCATGGCAACCATGAGGAAGAGGCAAGGAGGATAGCAACATCCAAGTACCTCCAAAGGGTCAGACAAGTTCTTAAGTCCCAGCTCAATGGCAAGAACAAGATCCAAGCCATCAACATATATGCCCTACCAGTCATCAGATACCCAGCTGGAATAATAACCTGGCCAAGAGAAGAATTGGTCACCATGGATGTCAAGACCAGGAAACTACTAACTATGAATGGAGGATTCCACCCGAATCCAGCACCCACAGACTGTACACCTGCCAGAAGGAAGGAGGTCGGGGCCTGATGAGTGTCAAGGCCACAGTCGTGGATGAAACACAGAGCATCCACAAGTACATCATGAAGATGGCTCCCAAAGATGAACTGCTAAGGGAATGCCTGCGACTTCCACAGATCGAGGATGCAGAAAAAAGGAGGTTCCTTGGCAAGACAAACCTCTCCATGGGGTGATAGTGGATGTGGCTCACATAGCAAAATCCTACTATTGGTTGGAAAAGGCAGGGCTGAAAGACAGCACTGAGGCACTAATCCTAGCAATACAGGAGCAGGCACTCAGAACCAGATCAATATAAGCTGGAGTCTACCACACCAGGCAAGACACAAGGTGCAGACTATGCAAAGAGGCCTCTGAGACAGTCCAGAACCTAGTAGCCAGATGCAAGATGTTAGCAGGAACAGCATACATGCAGAGACACAACCACGTTGCTGGGATTGTGTACCAAAACATCTGCACGGAATATGGATTGGACCTGCCTAAGTCCAGATGGGAGATACCACATATTCCCCAATCTCCCAATACAGCACATTCCACAGTACAGCAAACAAGCAGCTGTTCTTTTTAACCTATTAGACATCCATACCTTAATAAGTATATGAATAGGAACATATAGAATATGTAATATTCTATAGTGTGTACCTAGCAGTGCGAGTGGCTTCCCTGGGGTCCAGTGGGGACCAGGCTGGCCAGGTACAAGTCAAGGTTAGGACCTGCGATAGCTGCTGTGGGCTGCTCAACTCCAGTGCAGATTCCCGTTCACAAGTGCTGGGAGGAAGTGATCTAAGATCACTTCCTCTAAGTGCTGCAATGCGTAAATAGAGGATTGTCCCCCACCACTTGCAATCACCACTTGGGTTGCACTATCAAATATTTGAAGTTTCACTGTGACTCTTGACAGGTAAGAGCTTGTTTGTCTCTGGCAGCCTTGAGTGCCATGCAAAGGCACCTCGAGTGCCATGCATGGCACATCTGCCATGTGCACATCCAATCCAGAAGCGCTTCTCAGTCTCCTGTGCTGCTTCTGAGCAAAACTACACTTTGGTAAGACCTTCAAGAAGGCCTGCTGGTATCTTAAAATTGCCACGTCTGTTTCTGGCACATGGTAAGTATCACCATAAAAATATATAAATATATGCCTTGGCTCTATATTGATATATGGGGCAGCCATGACGTTGTACCAATGAGCTTTGGTGAGAAGCTGTTTTATCATAATATTGCACAAATACTTTATATCTAAGCAAACACACCTAGGCACGTTACGTATGTATTTCCTTGTGTTTAATTAAACCCACTGGGTTAGAGAAGAGCAGAACTAGACCTTTTTTGCTCTAAAAACAAATCTAGTCATAGCCCTGATTTCTGCTAATCATGTAAAGTTTTCACAAAGAAAAGTTGAGAATGACAGGGTTAAGATCCTGTGGGACTTCAAGATCCAGACAGACAAGCAAATGCTGGCCAACCTACCAGACATCGTGGTGGTAGACAAGGAATGAAAGACTGCAGTCATGGTGGATGTGGCAATACCGAGTGACTATAACATCAGGAAGAAGGAACATGAGATCAGATTCCAGGTGGGACATCTCAGCTCGCTGTCCAGAAGAGTGCCATTCTGGGAACAGCTAAGATACTGCGCAGAACCTTTAAACTCCCAGGCCTCTGGTAGAGGACCCAAGAATGAGCAATAAACATACCACCCAGGAGGGGTGAGAAAATCATTTTTTAAATTTTATTTATATCTTCTTGGGTTAAAGACTCTTCAGGCTAATATACGCCTATATTAACCAAAAGTATTAATTCGCAATCTGACTTTCTTTATAAAAAATATGCATTTATTCTACTTCAAAAGCAAACAATTATATACTTAACAGATGGTATTTCTCAACGACATTACAGAGAGAGAGAGATATTCGTCTTTCTATCAGCAAGTCAAGGACCCACCCAGAGAGGAGAGCAAAGAGTAGGAGAAGTGAGCGTGGTTCTTTGTCCTCAATTCTTTATAGGCAATATCATGTCATAACTTTTAATTTAAACTCAGGCCAAATAAGGAAACTCCACACATAAGGACCATATTCCCCAATCTCCCAATACAGCACATTCCAGAGTACAGCAAACTAGCAGCTGTTCTTTTTAACCTATTAGACATCCATACCTTAATAAGTATATGAATAGGAACATATAGAATATGTAATATTCTATAGTGTATACCTGGTAGTGCGAGTGGCTTCCCTGGGGTCCAGTGGGGACCAGGCTGGCCAGGTACAAGTCAAGGGCAGGACCTGCGATAGCTGCTGCGGGCTGCTCAACTCCAGTGCAGATTCCCGTTCACAAGTGCTGGGAGGAAGTGATCTGAGATCACTTTCTCTAAGTGCTGCAATGCGTAAATAGAGGATTGTCCCCCACCACTTGCAATCACCACTTGGGTTGCACTATCAAATATTTGAAGTTTCACTGGGACTCTTGACAGGTCAGAGCTTGTTTGTCTCTGGCAGCCTTGAGTGCCATGCAAAGGCACCTCGAGGGCCATGCATGGCACATCTGCCATGTGCACATCCAATCCAGAAGCGCTTCTCAGTCTCCTGTGCTGCTTCTGAGCAAAACGACACTTTGGTAAGACCTTCAAGAAGGTCCGCTGGTATCCTAAAATTGCCACGTCTGTTTCTGGCACATGGTTAGTATTACCATAAAAATATATAAATATATGCCTTGGCTCTACATTGATATATGGGGCAGCCATGACGTTGTACCAATAAGCTTTGGTGAGAAGCTGTTTTATCATAATTTTGCACAAACACACCTAGGCACTTTACGTATGTATTTCCTTGTGTTTAATTAAACCCACTGGATTAGAGATGAGCAGAACTAGACCTTTTTTGCTCTAAAAACAAATCTAGTCATAGCTCTGATTTCTGCTAATCATGTAAAGTTTTCACAAAGAAAATAGGAATCTGTAAAACAGTAATTCCCTGCTGTGATTTTAACAAAAAGAGTTTTTCTTATCACACCAGGATAATTTATAATATGATGTGCAATAGATTTGGAACGACAAGAAAGAATTATGCTGCTGACTGAATACAGTGTAAGTGGGATCCATTCAACCATAATTAACTGGTTTAGTGAATCATAATTTAAACCACTTAGTCATCCGTTCATCTTCTGTCATTATATAACAAATATCATACCCAATGAATTTGCTTGACCTCTTGATTATATGGGTTGTTCAGTTTAATCGATGACTGGGGGCATCAGGTGGAAATTCAAATGAATGCAAGCAAACCAGTATCAGTGTTTGCATTTATATTTGTCTTGTGTGTATTTGTTTCAAGATTGTATTTCTTAATCTCACATGTTTACTGGGATTCTGCACACCATTGATGTGTATGATTAAATAAATACATCACGGTTCTGTAGTTTTCTAAAGGGACAGTGTTCCACACAATAAAAAAATCGTACAAGTACTGTAATATGCCTTAAATTACATTTTATGATTTAGGAGTTATTTGTATATGAAACACTAAAACTGAAGATCAGAGAACTCAAGATTTAAAGCCCCTGAATATTTTTAGACCATTGAAAGAGAAGCAAAGTGCCTGGTCCCCAAATTGAGATCCAGACCTATTGTTTGTCACTTCTCTTTGCCACCAGTGTGCTCCAGGATCTACTGTATGTGGTACCTCGGTACCTCTGCACTATTCATATCGCAGCCTGAATTTCAAACAAAATAGCCAAACTGAAAAAATTTGCCAACATTGCTATATTTCCAGTTGAGCTATTTTAGCCTAAAATGACACTCTTTGAATTCCTAAAAATTTGTTTAAAGAGACACTATAGACACTCAGACCACTTCAGCTCATAGAAGTGGCCTGTGTGCACTGTCCCTGTCCCCCTTAGTCCTGCAATGTAAGTCATTGCAATTTTTGAGAAACTGCAATGATTACATTGCAAGACAAAGACTGAATCTCGTGCCTGTCAATCAGACAGCCACTAGAGGCACATCCTCGTGGTTAAGCTACGTTTGGTCACCTAACTGATGCTGGATGTCCTCACACTCTGCATGAGGTCATCCAGCGTCAGAAAAATCCACCGCGCATGCCCATTAGCCTCCCTGTCAGATGATGTCAGAGGATGTGGAGCACTGGAATCGGGAGGGAGGTGGGCCAGAGGGAGCCATAGTGTAAGAAATGTGTAGCAGACTCGGTTCCCCTATGTTTGGTTGTCCATACCCCCTTTGTTCATCTCCCGAATAACTGGTGTGTGGTCCCCTTGTAAGGCCCAGCAAACACCGACCTCCCCTGGCTGTAACCATAAAGTAACAGCTTGACACCTTCGCTTGAGTGCGTTCCCTGGGTGGCCGCCATTTGTATAACCGACCGCACGTGGTCCATTTTGTACGCAGGCAGTGTTACCTGGTCGAACACGGCCTGTTCAACTTCCCGTCTATCT